GGGGGGGGGGGGTAACCAATGGTTACCATTCTTTGAGCAATAGTCTACTATTATATATGTTGAATATACTGATTTGACAGAACTGTAGAATGCTGTAACATTGTCACATAAAAGTAGATACATATGGCAGAGGCAGAACAAACATCACATTTAGCAAAACATGGGCCGGCACAAGGAACGGGGATAGCGCAAGGGGTGGAAAAGAAAGATATGAATTCGGAAATTTTCGAAAACGTTGAGAACGAAATAGCTCAGCAACCTGTTTATCAAGTTCGACCACATATGCATGAAAAGTAAGTTGTTTTATTCAATATTTACAAGTTTTATATCTTTACGAATTCAGATTGTACATCACACATAAGCCAGGTTTTTGTCTATTTTGAAATCAATGTAAGACTAATGCTTAAAAAATATATAATATTCTTTCAATTCGATTAAATAAAATTAAAATTAAGACAAAAATTAACAGGTTTAAACCTCTAAGTGCAAAAGAGATAATACATGATGTGTTGTTTGACCAACTTGCCACAAAGTCATATGATGCACAAGCAGCTGCTCAATGGACCAAAGATATTGCAGATATTATTGAAGGAAAAATCAAAGGTGATAATTAAGTTATAATAATTAAGGTTATTAAGGTAATTAATATAGGTTATTAATTAAAGTTTTCTCATAATATGTATCTAGAAACTATTTTATATATATTTACATGGGCAATTTTATATATTAAATACTCATCATATTTTTTTGGACATGTTTATAGATCTACAATTTAAAAGATATAAGTATATTGTCAATGTAGTTTTGGGACAGCAGCATGGTGCTGGTGTTAAAGTAGGTACAAGATGTATTTGGGATGCAGAAGCTGACACGTATGCTTATGATAGTTTTACTAATGTAAGAATGAGACAGATTTTATTTCAATCTTTTCTCTCTCATCTTTCATAAGTAGTTTTTAGATACAATATCTTAATTTATTTATATCTTAATTTTTTTTGGATTGATTACATTATATTTTTCAGGACACTATATTCTGTGTGGCTACAGTATATGCAATTTATTTTTATTAAAAGCGGAATATTTTTCTGAAAACAGAAATAAATGTAAACGCATGAATGAAAAAATATTGTCTGGAAATATAAGCATATTTATTAGTATTTAAGTACAACTTGTTATATATTATTGTACATTAAAACACACACAACGTAACATGTCATGACATGGCACAATTTTTACATATAATTACAAATAATATTTTTATTCTATATGTAATATATGCATGATTGCAGTGATATATTTTCCACTTATACTTATTTATACACTAAAATTATTATAGCACCATAATTCACGGTAGTATAATGTAATTAAAAATTTATCCTACTTGTGTTACGATATCTAATGTCATGATTTGCTCTCCTCATACACTTTCAACAAAAAAATATTCTCTCTAAATAGTCTTTAATTTATGTGATAATTTGAAGTTAAGTGTATCCTGTGTGTGAATGACAATAATAATATTATTTATTTATAAATTGTAACAGATTTTACTATTTTTGGAAATATGAATATTATTATTACCATTTAATTTAAATAACCAGTTACTAATATTATATGATCTACTACATAGTATTATTATAGTAAGCAATGTAAATAAAAATACAAAAATATATGGTTTGTTAATAAAAATTTTAATCAGTTTATTAATATATTCTATATGACCATATTATTAATTAATTTTCTGACTTATTTTGTTGCTTTAAATATAGAATATACAGCAACATAGATATAAAGAATTTACAAAAGGCACCATTTATAATATCTTGTTATAACAATTGCCACACACTGTAGCACGTTTAAAAAATCTAAAATTAATCATTTGTCATTGTTATCTTCATATAACAAAAATAAAATAAATATAATGTTAAAATATCTTCATCATATGTATAAATACGTTAACATAAAGTCAATAGCATATTGAACAAGATTCGCTTTTACGATGTAATAGCACGATTTGTCTTGATTACATCGCGTGTTAAATATTAACATGCATACATATATCGATTTTCTTTAACTATACTCTTAATGGATATTCTGGTCGTGGAAATAGAAAGAGAAAAACACATAAGATTTCAGAATATGCAAGATAAACAATCAGATCTCGTGTTGACACGGGAGAAATTTTAAATGTACTAACATATCAATCACATTTTTATATCAAGCCTTCTTTTGATCATTTGAATTTATGTAGATTGTGCTTCTTTCTTGGCTTATAATGCAGTGTAAAATATGTATACCACGTTATATACTTAATTAACACATTGCCACGTGTACCACCAACGATAGCTGGTATACAGTTTTGTTTCTCATACGAATAATAAGTCCTTTTAGTTAGTAAGTGCTCGTTTACACTTGTAGTATAAAGTAGCGCTGTCAGTATAAATCTCTGGTATTTTCTATACAATAATTCCAAATCCGGACTTTTTTTACCGATATATAATGGTCCTATAAAAAACCACAATTCTAACAGTTGGTGGTCCACGTGGTCTACAGCCAATTTAAGCCTTGGCGATGAACGTATCAATATGTTAATACAACGAGTAGTTACATAATAACACACGGTAATGCGCAGCACAACGGTAGACAAACAGGCACAACAGCACCTCCTTGTTTGCTTTTGCTTTTGCTTTTGCTGGAAGCCTCGTATTCATATTTTCCACTTGCTTTTTGCCATTCACCCTGGAAAACAGTAAAAAGCAGAATTAATTTAGCAGATCCAATCAGACATTTCGTTTTCAGGAACACGCATACAGAACAATACATATCGAGAATGCAGAATCGCTCAATACTTCGTACAATACATTCAGTAATTTTAATGACTTACGCCAGATTGCGACATGGCAGCGCTAGATTCTTCCTTCTTGGTGAATTCCGCTGAGCCAGGAGGATAATAGACCGGTGGTCCAGCAACGTTCTTGCTTTTCACTTTCGGTGGTGTATGCGGAGCGAAATCAACTTCTTTCTTCACAGCTGAAGATTGCTTCTTCTTCTGGCGTTCTTGTTTTTCTATATCCTCCAATACTTCTCGCTGTGTGAGAGCAAACGAAACATATAATTTTCTGATCTATCGCGCCCATAACAGAGTATCAATTACCTCACCTCGGAATCAGAGAATGAAGCCATAAGGTCTTCGAGTTTTGCTGGCGGTCCTTCACCATTAGTGGTCGGTTTAGTGGGGTACATTTGAACACCAGTCGGGAAAGGTTTCGGCAGGAGGACCTCGTGATCGTCCGCGTGCTTCTTCGGCGGTATCGTCGTTGTGGTATTCGAGAACTTATAAATAGTGCCAGGCTGTGGCGAATGTTGCGGATAATAGGTCGTTACGGTCTTCGTCGAGATGTCCGGCTGGTCGAGCGCTGGACTGGACGGCCTGCCAGGTCCATACTCCTCGTATCGATTGACAGTCTTGCTGTGCGTTTCCGTTACCGTGGGCGGTTGATTTTGATATATGACTGTTGTACCGCCAGGATAGTCTGGGCGATCACCCGGCCCATGTCCATTGGGATAATTGCCGTCGACCTGGTAATACTTCTTGGTTACAGTGGTCTTAGTCTCCATGTTCGTTGGCGGTGGACCAGCGCGGTAGGCGTAGGAAGGCTGCGTCGGTTGGCTGTCATCGTACGGCAATGTTCCATGATGCTCCTCTTGATAGTACTTAGCCTCCTTATGAATGGTTGTAGATTTTTTAGTGACATCGGTCGGAGACGGGCTGCTATATCTAATCGGTGTACCAGGATGTCCCGGTGCATTCTCCGTCACGGTCTGGTAGGTGACGGTCTTGTCTGTGATGTTGCTGCCTCTCGGTAGGGTGTATGTAATTGTTTGCTCGCCGGGAAGCACAACGCTTCCTGGCACATTGCCACCTGGTAGATACGTCTCCGGCGCTCCTGGCAGCTCGTAGGTGTATGTCTTAATCGTAGTGGTAACTTTTGTATTTGGGCCGGGCGCTAGATTGATCGGTATCGCCGGAGTTGGCGATGGGACCGGTACATACTCAATGGTTTTGTATTCTTGCGGAGCATTCGTATGCACTGTAGTTACAGCGCTTTGAACCGGCCGTGGTTCGGTTTGATAACCTAGCAACAGATTATTTGTTTATTTTGAGATTGGTATTACAAGTTCAGAAACGACAAATTTCATAATATTATGTAAATTACATACTGGTTTCGTGAATGTACTTTACATCCCTCTGAGTTCCCGACGAAGGGGAAATTTGCTTTGAACGGGGTGTTGAGCTGTCGCCATAGACCTGAAAAATATGATTGTATTTTAATAGTAATGCTTACAAGTTCTTCTCACTTAATATTGATAAAAATAAAATCGATGCTACAAAAGTATTTTGATAATATATGCTTTTACTAACCAGTTCTCTATTGACCACTGATTTTTTGATGATCGGCTCCGGACTTTGATACGTCGCTGGAGTTTTAGTTTCCTCGTAAGTGGTTTCGTGAATGTCGTCGCTGTAAGCGTATAAATTTCTGTATATATTCCATAATTTTTATATTTATAAAATAAGTCATATCTACAGTAGAAACATAACCATCTACCTGAGTATTTAGAACCAAAAATCATGAATAATACCAAACTAATATCTATCTACTACCTGTTATTGATTTTTGCATTAACTAGTATTATCCTTCATTTTTCACAGTATTCGAGAGTACTCGGATGATTTTTGAAATACCCGAAAGACTCGAATATCTGATTAGTATCTGAATATTCGAGTATTCGGCTACTGACATCACTAATCTATAATAAATTTTGCTCAAGTAGCAAGCATGCATTTAAGAGACGATTACAAAATAGGATTATTTCATTTTAATAAGAAATAGATGCGTCATGCAACCAAGTCATTTGGCATCCATTCAGAAACTGGTGGTATTTTAGGACTTTCGTTATGAAGCAAAGCTGTATACTCACATCAAGGGCGCGCCAGTGAGTGGCAGTTTGTTTTCTGATGTAATCCACGAATCTGGAACAATAGATTATTGATTATGCTATCGTTACAACTAAGTACTGTAATATTTCTAAAAGTATACAAACAAATTTGTTTTGAGCAATTGCCAATGTAAAGTCTTAGTGCTCAAAAACAACAAAAACGATACAAGTGACGATGACCTACGTCTCGTTGATTTCAGTCCGATATTCACAAGATTATAACTCTATCTACTCCGGCAATTGTTACTCTCTGTCGGCCGATACAGACCTCCTTGGTCGACGACCCTCACCCGCTGACCCGATGACAACGGTCATCCTTGCTCTCGCGTCGTCATAACTTACCCACCTTCAACTACCTCTTCCTCCCCCACGATCTTTCTCTTTTATCTTTCATCCTTTCTTTAGGGACAGTATAGCGGAGAGTATACGGAGAAATCGGGTCAGTCTCCTGTTACAGGCGGTCCTAATATGGCTACGCTTGTGTGTTATGCGTGATCGCATAAAGAACATGAGCTACGACCGTGCCGTCTCCGCCAAATACAGAGACACAGGAAAAACCTCTGCGCTTTCAGCGCAGAGTTGCGTCGCGGTGGAAATGACCACCGCGATGTATCGGATACATTCTCGTGCGAAATTCAAGGAGCTCGTCCGCTCGTATCAGCTGGCCTGTCCACCGTTGGTTCCAGCTCGGGAACAAGAAGCGGGAACTCACGTTCTTTCAATGCGATCATACCGATACTCTCCACGCAACGTAATTAGAATTGCTCGAGAGATGCGTGTAGCACTCAAATCTGATACGCTTCATTTTTCTCATTATCAATTAACTGTAAACCAGCAAGGCCGCCGCGCGCCTTTTAAGGCGCGACACGAGCAACCGGCTCCCCTACCTTTCATGATCGTTTAAAACGCGCTCGCGCGCTATTCGCCGTGACCACGCGGCGCGACCGAGGTGTTACTCGTCTCGGTTAATCCAGGGAAACCGATCTTCGCCATTGCGATAGTTCGCTACATTCTACAGTGTGCTCCATAGTTACGATACGACTGTCTATTCACCGTACCATACTAAGTTGGCTAACATATTATTATGTTATACTGTATGTATTAGCATACTATTCTTAACCTTTAGAGGTCCGGAAAACCAATATTTTGGCGCACCAGAATAACTTGTTCAATTTTTTTTTTTATTAAATATTCATTTTCTTAATATTATTAGCAATTTTTAATATTATTTAATGTAAATTTGCCCCCCCCCCCCCATTTGCGTGATAAAAGGGGTAGTTTTTGTAATTTTATAGGGGTTGTTTCCAGGTTTACTGTATTTTTGACATCAGATTTGGATTCTACGTCGAAAAATACATCGGAAACGCATATTTACACTTACAAATTGATGTGAAAGAAGTATTTTTTTCGAATTTGAAATTTTATATACGGGCTGATCCCTTCCGGACCGGAAAGCCAATATATTGGCGCTACCCATGATCGATACTTAGTGTGTATGGTCAATCTATGATATAAGATACCTTTTTTACCATTTTACTAAGGCGGATATGCCCTCTCAAATCCCGGCCCTCTAAAGGTTAACCGGTTCACTGGTGAACTCGGAACCAAGGTTTCGTGCCAAAATTGGTGAGAACAAAAATTCCGCATTTTACATAAAAGCTTATCTAATAAGTGGTTTTTTGGGTAGCTGATTTCGAGGTCAAATTTGTCCCGTTACCGGTACTTTTACCCTATGCACCCAAAACTAATATTCTTTATATCATTCATTATATTTCCAGGGTCAAATTTTCTCTAAAATCAATTCTGAATATATTTTTATATGTTTCATTTTATAATTTATAATATAAAATTCATAATATTTCACTAGCGTACAGCACAAAATCTTTTGGGGACGTCCCACAGATTTCCTGAGGACGTAGAAACGTCCCCAGGACGTCCCCAGGACGTTCTCAATTTGTTAGGGAACGGAGTATCCATGGAATCATACCGAATATCATACCGAGTTTGTTCCGTATCTGTAATGGAATATCAAAGTTAGTCACTTGAAGCCGCTATATTGGATCCGTCATTTTAAATTTCTCAAATTTAACTTCGGATTCTTAATCAGCGATCCAAAAAACATGAGGATAGCAAGTTTCATGCAAATTCGTTTAAAACTGGCGGAGATATACAGCGAACACATATATGTGTGCTTACCAGTTGTAGCACTTTTTTTTCCTACACGTATATGTGTGCTTACCAGTGAACCGGTTAATATTATTAAAGCAATATTAATATCTAATGGCACTAAGCATCCGTACTTGGCTCCTTGCCATTCAAATATTTCTGATACTATTCTTGTGTTCTTATACATGATTTTGCGCGAATATGAATTGCCTCACCTGGCTTCCCGTCTAAGTTCTTATTGTACTGGTATGACACCTGCTTATACGCGATCGTTTTGCTCTGACCGGGTTGGACCTGTAAACATAAGAGAAGAAGAAAACCCTCAAAACGTAATCTCACACCACAGGCGCGGGCATCCGGATCATCCACTTTTGTGTATGCAACAACGTTCCACGAATAATCGTGACAAATTAAAGCTCGCGTCAGAGTAGGCGTCACAGTCTCCTTATAAGACTTCGATTACGACTGTCCTAAAAGCGTGGGTGAATCGTTCTCAATGTTTGAATTCCGCGGAATTCCAGTCGAGAACCAAGGCCAATAATTACTTCAACGGCACTAACTGAAGCTATGTTATGAATGAAATTAACATATGTTTTTGCCACGTTTCATACGCACAATTCGCATGCGTGTCTCGTACTACTTTTACACGAATTACATACGAACTACGGTAAATTTACTTCCACAAACTGCTAGTTATATTCTAGCGTCTCGGGCACAAAGGTAGGCGGCGTCCCTTAAAGATTTTCAAACCCGTTAGTCTGAAGATATATCCGGCTAGCGTAAGGAGTACAAGAGCGAATTACACGCACAGCCAATTTATTTTCATTGAATGCTAGTTCATAAGTCGCACAACTGGCGAATACTGCAATTACCTCGGCCTCAGTTACACGCAGCACTGATCTTGCGCCTCACCATGATTTCCTAATGCCCAATATATCGTAGAAAATAGCAATGTCATTACAACAATTATGAGATTACTCTCAACACTTTTACTCAACAAGACATAGTCCTTTCGATACGGTACTTCGTTCTTTCTTCCTTCAGATTCGATCTTTTCGAGTCGATTGAAAATACAGCAGAAATGTTTCATTGTTCATAAGTTACAAGCAGAATAAAGAAGAATCATGCCTATATACTTAAAATTTAAATCGTAATTTTGATTGCTATAATAGGAAAGAGTCATATATATATATATATATATATATATATATATATATATATATATATATATATATATATAT